TCCAAGTCACTTGAAATTTTAGGTGTGTGTTCATCAAAAAATAGGTGAATCTTCGAAAAATATCAAAAAAATATTTTACATGAAAAAAATTGACCAAAATACCCAAAAAAGTTTCGGGGGTATTTTGGTCAATTTTATTTTTGTGGATTATTTTTTTTATATTTTTATTAGGTGCGGCTTGATGAGAAGAACACATGCCTAAAATTTCAAGTGATTTGGACTTGTAGAAAAAAATTTAAAATTCAAACACGAAAGGAGGTCGTGACAGTCAGATCGGCCCAGATTCAATCGGGGCCGTCGGGCTCATATCTTCCTGTTAGTCCATGGGCTAACAAAAGTATCTTCCTATATATATATATATATATATATATCTATATATATATGTGTGTGTGTGATCAATTTCCTCTGTTTATCTATGGGGCATCATCTATCAGTTATTGTTGGGCGACTGGAGATTAACCAATGTGGGACTCACATCCATGATCATTGAGGCATGGTCAATCTCTATTGTCCATCAACATTGAGTGCCTTAGTGGAATACTTCATATTGTTTTCTACTAAACCGCGGTATGGGTAAATACTCTTGTAAAAAGAAAGTATACTGTAACACTCATGACCACAGCAATTTTGTGGTCGAGTCCTCACTATACAATGCTACAATGGATTGGTTGGACAATGATATCTTTGGTGTTGTGTGTTTCAAGGACTCATGAGCTCGATTGATGTGGCTGAGCTTCAATTTACTGATTTTGTTGCTCCTCTTTCTCTCTTGGTTGTGAATGATCCTTGCGAGGCTAAGTAGTTGGAGGTTGTTTTAGGGAATTGGGATGTTATTGATGTCGACTCTTGAAGTTTTTGTATTCTAAAGCTGATTTTTTACGGTTGTTATGAAGTCAACTCTTGGTGATCTTAATAACCTCCATGGGATTAAGAATCTTACATAATAGTGTTATCTGAATCAAATCGGTCACTGAATTGATGAGGGATATAGTCCACTCAAAACCGGTTTGATTCTCGGTTAGCCCGGTTGGACCATATTTTTTAAAAGAAAGAAACATATGAATAATAATTTAAAAACATGAAATAAATTAATAAAATTGCCAACTTGTCTGACTAGTCAAAACTGGCGGGTCCAACTTGCCAAAACCGGTCAGACTTTGTTTTTAATCGATTCTTGACTAAATTTGATTCTCACTTTGGATCAAACCAGCTAAAGCACCAACCGGTTAGACCCGGCGACCCGATTAATCAGACCTAGCAGTCCAACTAGTCATATCTAGCAATCTCATCCCGTCTTGATAACTATGTTGCATAGTTCCTTTTTTTTAATGTTTCGTTTTTAACTTTTTATTTTATGTGGATAGTTTAGTGGCAGGAGTTGAACTTGGGGTATTGTGTTTCATTGTTAAAGTCTTCACCAATCTAGGCCAAGTCTGAATGATAGAAAGCTTAACGAGTTCTTTAGTGTGTCGAGCTTTTTGAAGTTTCAACCATGTCCATAGAGAGACCAATGAGGTGATCATTTTAGAATCCATCTTAATTTTTAATGTCATAGCTGTCACTTAGGAAAATGTTAAGTGGCGTTTCAAACTATAACCTGGATGTAACATTTTTATTTATGTTTTCTTCTTGTTGACAGTTTTGTGTGTGGCTCGTCTATGGTATATTTCCACTCTTCTCGCTATATTTGAACCAGATATGATTCTTGTATTTCCAAGAAAAGTGTCGACTTTCTGACTCTAGTGCATCTCATGGAAGGAGAAACTGATCTTACAAACTTTTCTTTAATACAGCAAAGTAAGAAATGTGACCAGAATTCTATACAATGTCAGAACGTTTTCTTCAAAATTTCCCCCAAAACAATGCTTATAATTTGAAAAACATTGATGCAACTACGTATCACAGTTAACTGCTATGAACTTGATGTATTTTGTCACATATAAATGTCCTGATTGAGTTTTTGTTGAGTGTTGTAGTCTTCTCTCATAAACGATGGGAGAATGGAGACTTTGGTAGATATATGGACTATTTTCAAATTATCAATTGTTTTGCATATAGTTTGCACATATAGATGTGATCATCTTAGTCAGTCTGATGTAAAGGAAGTTCTATGCCTAAAGACAACAAATATATTTTAGGATATGGGATAATGGAAGATATAATTCTGCACTTTCTTTTACCATTTTCATTGGATTTGTTTAGAGTCTTGAGACTGAATAGTTTTGACCTGAATGAAGATAAACCAATATATTGTACCATAACCATTAGCTCTACTGCATAAAGGTACCAAATTTGGCCAATTTATGCATTTGAAAAGGCCCTAGTATTCTCAAACTGTCCATCCTCTGGTTGTTAACTGTCTTATATGAACTGGAAATTAACTGGATTTCTTGATAGTCTTTATGCATCTCTGTTTGGTGCTTTTCCGTCAAGTTATAGTATTTTGTAGGCTATTATCAATAGAAGTCAGTGAAATCATTATCCAATTTTATTTACTTCCATAATTTATATTATCTAACACATTTGGAATGTATTCTTTCAAATTTTATTTACTTCCATAATTTATATTATCTAACACATTTGGAATGTATTCTTTCAAAGGTCATAACTGGTTATGGAGTATCTAAAGTCCTGGATTCCGAGCATCCAAATTTTAAGGAAGGTGACTTGGTTTGGGGAACGACTAGATGGGAAGAATTCAGCTTGATAACAATGACTAAAATGCTTAGGAAAATTACCTACACTGATGTACCTCTTTCCTACTACATTGGCATTTTAGGTATTTGTCTTTCCCCTTTCCATCTTCCTTTTGTCCATGAGATCATTTGAACTGAGTGATCGTAGTTGATATTATCTTGCTACTCTTAATTAACAACTTGTTGTAAGGCCATTACTATTTTCATTATGAACTCCCCACATTCCTTTTCACCTTATAATTGACACAATTGAGACTTTTATTTCTAATTTTTCAGTTTTTTGTGTATCCATTTTACTGATTGCATTTCTATATTTCACATAAGGAAAAAGTTTATACAAGGTTGCAACCTTCAAATGTAGAAATAAAGATGCACCTCAAAAATCCATCGGAAAATGTTATTTTAATATTGAAAAACCCTCTAATCGATCATCTCGACATTGAGTTATATGAATATGAAAAAATATATATATATATTGTGTCCTAGAAATAGTGTATCTTGCAACACATTATCTAGACCGTCTATTTTCTAGATTTTCATATGTTTATAGATCTTCTTGATTTTAACCATTTTTGGAGTTTAAAATTTTATAATTAGATGTGAAAATAGATTTTCATAAAATCCTAAGAATGTTTTACACTAAAATTACATATTATGATAAAATTTGGTGGTGCGCCTTAATTGGATTAAGGTTGCAACCTTATAGAAACCACACCCTTCACATTAACATTCATATTCTTGTTATATATCTATACATCTTTTCTTTTATTTTGACTGTACTAAGGAATCTTTCTTTTTCTTTTTATGTGTTTGTGTTTGGCATGTTGAAACTTGCCGTATGTAACTATTTGTGGAACAATTGTCTATAAGTTTATACGATGTTATACAACCGTCAGAATAATATTGAAAGTTTCATTTAGAACTTCCTTGAAAGAATTATAAGGTATTGAAGATGCACCATTTTTATTAAAAACCTTTGCAGTTGTAAGGCATTTGATATAATATAAATGTCACCAAGTTTCTTAGCAGTAAGCATTCAACTTGAATTCTCAACTTCAGGGAAATTTTATGTCACCTTCTTTGGATAAAAGAGACGCAGCAGCTCATTAAATAGGACTTAAAAATGCTCACTTTTTATTATCTATTGTTCTGGAAAAGTGTCTATGTGTCTGATGAATTGATTGATGCTCATAAATAAGTTCTCTCAAAATTTGTTTTCATGTTTTGCATTTAATGATGGTTGTGGATCATATGAGGCCACGAGAAACTAGATTTGTGAATGGTACAAGTCATAGTCACGGACATAACTCTTAGAGGTGCAAATTCTGAGGCTGACAACCTCAACCTCACTAGATGGGGTGTTGCTAAGGCCTCTTTGTGTGTGGAGTCTTCTTTGTTTGTTTGTCAATTTGGCCTGTTTTGATCCTTTGTTGTGTTTTTGTTCTCTTAATGTGTTTGTGAGAGAGAGAGAATCATTTCCTTACGATTTTTGGGTAATTGAGCATCTTCATGTTTGGAGACAAGAATATTAAAGATCTTTTCTTCGTTGCATATTGTCTATAGGTATGCCTGGGATATCAGCATATGTAGGATTTTTTGAGATTTGTTCCCCTAAGAAAGGAGAACGTGTATATGTCTCAGCAGCATCAGGAGCAGTCGGCCAACTTGTTGGCCAATTCGCTAAATCAATAGGCTGTTGTGTTGTTGGTAGTGCTGGTTCCAAAGAAAAGGTAAGCTGCTATTAAGTTTTATCTTCTCTACCATTAAAGTAAGGCATAATTTTACTGTTAATCTTAAATGGGAGTTAGAATTAAATTTACATGAGACCTATGGCCCTCTTAGGTTGATCTATTGAAGTCCAAGTTTGGGTTTGATGAAGCTTTCAATTATAAAGAAGAGCATGACTTGGATGCTGCATTGAAAAGGTATGCCAACTTTTTCACAATTGACCTCATATTATGAAATGGGCAAAGCCCTGTCTTCTGGCATGAAATGTAAACCATTCTAAGTTTTTTTTGGGTAATTAAACCATTATAAGTTAGTGACATAGACTTATTAGTTGACTGTTGTAGATGCATTTCTAATTATTTAGTTGCGACTCAACAGTTTTGAATATTCTTTCCCCTCACTTTCTGGGGCCATCACTTTTCGGGCAGTGTGTTTATCATTTGCCAATGGCAAATGAAACATTATCTCATTGTATGGGGGTGATCTTTATGAGGTCACTCACATTTATTGTGTCGATAGCAGTTCTTTTATACAGGTAAATCTACATCAGCCCCAATGTTGCCTAGATACTGACTCGGGCATCCGAATCTGGCGCGTGTCAAAGTTTCTAGTGCTTCTGTCTCAAAAGCGAATATGGCAAGACATGTCCATATGGATCTTATTTTATAATAAGATAATAAAATATTAACGTATATATACATATTTATCACACTTGGATGTATACATATTTATCACACTTGGATGTGGTTGGTTTCCACACAAACTTGGCATAGGACATCTTGAGTGCAAACTCCACCCTTGTGATCTATACACTTCTTTTTTAGATCCCTGTTTATGGCTGGAAATGTCAAATATGGTTTCCAAGTATCGACATTTGGTTGGCATGTGATACTTCAGCAAGAATGAAGTGTATAGGGAACATAGCCTATACAAATCAACTCGCCAGTGTCCTCGCCCATTGGCTAGGCGGGTTACTAGGGTGTGTCCGAGTAACTCGCCCGAGTTAAAAGATAAAAATAATGGCAGAGATAATAATATATAATATATAACCTCTCTATTTCTTACATCAAACATAAAATACTGTGTTGGTTAGGTTTGCTACTCTTTGTATTCCCCTTTGCACTTAAGTCTCAGGTCCGAATCTCCCCATGGAACTTTTTCAAACTACCTTAATTTTTGGGTTTTATAAAAAAAATAAATGAATGCTGTGCTTGTTTTGGGGGTGGGGGGTGGAACACCAACGAAGCCATTTGTTCGCATATGGCTTAATATGCACATAGTAATATATATAAACGATACTTGCAAGGTTTACAACTCACTCAAGGAAAACTCGTGTTGCCCATATGGCGAGGCTGAGTGGATTGGCTGACTCTTGGTACCCTGATTTTTCCTTTGCCAAATGACAAAGTAGCCCAACTTTAAAATGATCCTGATTAGAGTTGTATTTATTGGAAAAGTAGGCATTCTTATTTTACAAAACCACTCTCTTAATACCATGTAATCTCTACAATGGCTGCAACCTTCTAATGAGTAGCACCCATGCTATTCACAGTCTCCCTGACTAAAGTAAGTTTTGAAAGAGTTTTAACTCCCAGTACCATTTTAGAGTTGATGGTAAAATGCTTAAAAAAATACCTACCTAAAGCCTTGAGATAGCACCTCAAAATCATTAGGAGAGAGGATGGATTTTTGCCATTGGAGCTTTTTTGTGTCCAAGTGGAAAATGGCTTCCTTTATTTCCTCTCTCAATGTAAGGCCTTTCCAACTACCTAAGCCAAACTACTAATGAAAAAATAACAGGAAATGAAGTACTCGACAAAATTAAAAGTAAACTCATCCACAAAAAGCTCCAACCCTCAGAAAGCCAATACAACCTTTTTTATGAAATTCAACTAGTGTCCTTTCTCTATCTGTCTCAAGGTAGAATGATGAGCTTACTTTTATCGATAAGCATCGGATTTGAATCTACGACTTTGAGAACTAGAACTAAGCCACCGGTCTTGATGAGAATCAAATAAACTCTCTCTCTCTCTCTCTCTCTCTCTCTCTCTCT